ATTGATGAGTAGTAGAAATAATTTTTTTTTGAAAAAAATGGGCTAGCCCGGCCCAGCCCATGGGCTAACAAGGGCTGGGCTGGGTTGAACATTTTGTAGCCCATATTTTATATGGGCTGGCCCGGCCCTGCCCATATTTTTTCAGCCCACAAGGGTTAGGGTCAGGTTGGGCCGGCCCGGCCCATATTGACAGGTCTACTGCTCTCTCTCTCTCTATGTATATAATAATAATAATAATAATAATAATAATAATAATATATATATATATATATGTTTTCTCTTTTTTTTTTGTTCAATTTAACTTTTTTAACTGTCAAATTTTGATCTCTACTTTCTTCTTTCAAATTCATATGATTGCTTTTGTCATTGAAATGAGTTCACTTTCAAATGTCTCCGTTCTTTTTAATTAACTTGAAGTTTTTAAGTGAGTAAACGTTCAAACGTTTAAAAGTCAATTATCACTACAATAAATTTGGACTTTAATTACAGTTCTTTAGGTAATACATCTTTTTATGTAGTGAAATCTTAAACAGAATAATTATTTAAACTCTTAGTTGTATTTTTATGTAATTATTTAAACAAATTAGAGTTCCAGCAACTACACCATCCAGGCCATACTCTCCATACTTTAAAGCATCCCCACAAATAAATGATCAACAGGCTCATGCCCACAAATACACAAACTACATTTGGTAGGATCATAACTCGTCATGTTCCGTCTTACTAACTCACTTTTCACCGCCACCCTACCTTGAGTTAGTTGCCGAACAAATGCTCCCACATTTTGGGGTGCGATGTTAGCCCATATCAAACTCCACACTTTCAATTTGACACTTTGGGATGCCATTTAGCCCATACCAAACTCCACAATTTCGCTTTGATACTTTGAGATGCCATGTTACCTCATACCAAACTCCACACTTTCGGTTCAACACCTTGGAGGGCCATTTTAGCCGATACCTAACTCCACACTTTCCTTTCAACACTTTGAGGTGTCATGTTAGCCCAAGCCAAACTCCACACTTTCCTTTTATTGGTTTCTTTACCTATGGCCTGCTCACAAAAAGATTTCACAACCCAATTATAGTTCAAGCAACTACACCATTCAGCCCATACTCTCCATACTTCAAAGCATCCCACAAACAAATGATCAACAGTCATGCCCATGGTTACGCAAACTACATTTGACAGCATCATTACTCATCATGTTCCGTCTTACTAACTCCGCTTTTCATCGCCACCTTTCACTTCGACACTTTGGGGTGCCATGTTAGCTCGTACCAAATTCCATAATTTTGCTTCGATATGTTGGGGTCCCCTGTTAGCCATACCAAACTTCACAATTTCACTTTGACACTTTAAGGTGCTATTTTGGGGTATCATGTTTGTTGATATATGTTATTGAGCTAATTGGATTGGTCAATAAATATATATTATCATTTAATACATCTTTAATCTCATAACTATATGTGATAGAGGTTTTCTTTCATGTTAGTGCAATAATAAGGAGTTATTAAGTACTAATTAGATAAAACCCTTGAAACATAAGTGCCTTGCAAGAGAATTGTAAAGTTATTACAATTATGAGATCACTACGCATCAAAGCCATGTTTCTAAAGTTATTCCTAGTCATTGTGTTGTCAAGACAAGACATTGACAATGCTCAAAGATTGGTACATGTTAAAGCTCCTTACTTGGGAAGTAAGCAATCGATCTTATAGATTGAAGTATATGGGATACTTGAAGATAACATGTCGCTACTTGATAAAGAACAAGTTCATTGAACATGACTTGCTATGAGAACTCCACTTGGTATTTCATTCAAGTGTTTATGGAATATGTTCTCATATGATAGTCGTGCAACTAGTCCTTGGACTTGAGGCACCAAGTTATCTTGAATGAGGAATGTCATACTTTGATTTTACCCCTACAGGTCTGAAAGTGACCAGATGCCTAAACAAGGTATTTTTGTGTATGCCATGACCAAATAAAGGTGAATGAGTGATCAAGAGAGGATTCATCACCCCAAATGATATGAGAGGATGTATCTTACTTGTTCTCATTTCTTGAATAACTTGTATAAAATCTTTGGCCAAAGCATGATGAATATGAGGAAAGTTAGTTTTCTAAATTCATAAGGTTAGACATGAATTATGAAAACTAATATAAAATGTTATAAGTAAACACTGAGTCATACTTTATAACATATCTGGGATATTTGATAAAAGGATCGTATTACACAAAGAGGTTTATCACTGCAGGCTTTATCAAATTGCTTAATTGACTCCCTAATAGTTGGGTGGTCATGATGTATTGCTAGATGCCTTTTATGATTTATAAATATAAAGTAATTATCAAATTGATATTTGATTAGGATTTGTATTTAGTACCAACATGTTAGAAGCTTAATAGGTCACATACATTAAGTGACATGATTGAGATTAAATAAGAATAATCAATTAAGTTAAACTTAATTGGAATAAAATAAAATAAAGTAAAAAATTAATTAAGTTTGCAACGATTTAATTGAATTAAAATACAATTGTTGTATCTAGGTTATAACTTAGTTTGGCTATATAAATATATTGCGCTAGTCAACTAAAACTCTAAGGCTTCAGCCACTTCCTAGCCATTTCATAAAAATAAGAAAAAAAAATAGTTTTATTTCTCTAATAGAAATAAGATTTGAGAAGAACTTTTGGTCATTTTGTTTTTAG